TGCTGAACAAATTCAACAGGAGGAGGCTAAGGTCCAATGAAACTGCCCACAACACTTTGGTTGTAATTAATTGGACCCAGAAAATTAAAATTCTGTGATGAAGTGGCCAGACCACCCATATGTAAACAATCATCATTATCCAAGTCACCCAAGTAGTTTGGGTGCCTATAAGGAGGAATATTAACCATAGTTGCAGAAGAAAAGAGAAAGAAGAAGGAAAATGGAAGGGATTGAGATGGAAGATGAAAGAGCTCAAACTAAAAAAAAAGCTCTATTTACAATCAGATCAAACCAAAGAGTGGCTATACATGCCTTAAAAGTGGAAAAAAAAAAGAGTAAATTAGGTTAACTTGCAAGAGTACTTGCAATGATTTCAAAGATTTGGGTGAAAAAACTGGAGAATAGAAGAGTGTAAAACCAGATCGATAGCTATTGGGTGTTTGAATCTGTAGAGGAGAAGTTGAAGGGATTTTCAATCATGTGTTTGACAAGAAGAGATATCTTGCTCTGCTATTGGTTGCATGGGACTGTAGTATTCAAGGCAAAACTTAAATTGAATTGAATAGCAAAAAACCCACGTTTAGTGGGAGAAGCTCTCGGCAAGAGAAAGAAAGCTTTGAAAGATTTTATAGCAAAAATCCTTATAACATCTTCAGATGCTACTGCAAGGGATGGTGATGAGGTTTCTTAGAGCTATCAAATGAGGGCGGAAAGAGGGAGGTTGAACGAGGGTGAGGAGGAAAAAGCTTTGGCGAAGTTATATGATGAAGATGTTCAATATAAGTGTGTCCACTGCAAAAGCACTGGTTGGATGACTCGAAAAAAGTTGATTGAGCACTATTTGCGTAAACATGGAAGAGTTGTGAAAATTATCAGTATAAAGTGAGTTTTTAATAGGAATTTTGGGTACACTGTTGGAAAGTAAGATTTTCTCATTATCTTTATTTCGGTGAGACATTAATCTTTCTCATTGTTTCATTGAATTATTAAAATGAGTAAAGTGATATAAAATTATGTTTAACCTATCAATATCAAAAAATTATATGTGTCAATAATGTGCAATATAATATATACGTAGTTTCATGTAATTTGTTAATTTATAAATAATTATAATTTAACTTATTTTATTTTGATTTAATTTGAACCCACCTATGTAAAATGCTAAATTCACCCCTGCCATCAAGTTACTCCCTTATCCCGAATAACCCATGCATTATTCAATTGATGAATATAGAGTGAATTAATCTCAAAAACTAGTACTTCACTCATGTTTCTAAATTATTTTTCTTACTTTTTGTTTAACTTAACTCAAATCTTTATTTTTATTTTTTTTTGCTTTATTCCTATTTCGCATAAAATTATCCATCATAATTACAAGACAAGAAGCACTTAATCTTTATCATACCTTAAAGCACAAGCTTAATACGAAAATAATATGAAATAATAACTCTATCTATATAAACCAAACACCATGTGATCTTAATGTTGTGACCATAATTTACACTCCTTTACACCAACTCTCACCTAATCATAAGGTAAAAAAAAATTAAAAAAAAAAGCCCCTAAAAACTTCAAAAATAGAATAAAAGATACTGAGTACTCGGTATTATCTTCAATAATGTAGGAGGTGAAAGTCAATCCCGATATAGATAAAAGATGCAATAAACAAGATTGTTATATAATGTTAGAAAATCTTAACACAATGATATTCACTCTACATCACTTTCAATATGTTTTGCGTAAGGTGGAATTACGTTAATTTTATTGCAAAATGGTCAATTTAAAAATAACTTTAACAATTTTTATGGTAACTTTAACCACGTTAAGAATAACTTTTAATTTGTATAAATTTAATTGTATTTTAATGTGTAATTTCTAATAAATGCATGTTTAAAGACTAATATGATTAATTTAATTCATTATAAATATTTTTTAAGAGTAAAATTTTAGTTAACAAAATACTCTCTATCTCATAATACTTGACACAGTTATCATTTTCGTCCGTCCCAAAATGCTTGACACGTTACTAAATATGGAATAAGACCACAAACCCTAAAACCCAATTAAATCCTACATTTTCTCTCTCCTCATTACTCCCACTCCCCCACTTTTTGTTTTCTTACAATATAAAGATACAAAAGAGAATCCTTTATATAATAAACAAATGTTTTAAATGGACCCACTTGTAGTTTTGTTAAACTATGTGTCCACCCCAACGTCCCAAGTATTAAGGGACGAAGGGAGTAGTAATTTTTGTACTCCCTCCGTCCCATTATATAGTTCATGCTTGTGTTTTTTCACGGTATTAAAGAAATGGAAGAAAAAAGTGAATGAATTACATAAAAAAAGGTAAAAAGTACAATTATTGACAAAAGTTAGAGAGGAAAAAGCGAATGAAGTACATAAAAAAAAGGTGAAAAGTACAATTATAGACAAAAGTTAGAGAGAGAAAAGGGAAAAAAAGTACAAAGCAAGTAAAAAATTCAAGGGTAATTTAGGAATTACAATGATAAAGTTAAAAAAAAGGTATAATGGTCTTTACATACTATCCAAAATAGAAATAGGAACAACATTTTGGATCTCCAAAATAGGAAAACATGAACTATATTATGGGACGGAGAGTGTAGAATAAATGAGTAACTTTATTTAATTTATGATAACTTTAACCCGTCTTATAATAATTTAATAAAAGTCCGCCTTAATCAAAAATTTGTGTATCACTTTTTAGTAGAAATCTTCTATTTCTTAGATCTAATTTTGTGGAAGAAAATAAGATTTGAAGTTTGACTATATGAATAATTATGAGAGTAATGTTGATTTATGAAAAAGGTGCTATTTCGCAAATTTCTAATCTCATGTCAATTAACACCTGAATCCTTTTGAAATTTTTAAGATGTGACGGGACATCGAGTAATTGAAGTTTGAGATGTCAAATCTTTGAAAATTATAAAAGAAGAGAGGCACTTAGGATAAAAAAAAACAATATATATATATATATATATATATATATATATATATATATATATATATATATATATATATATATATATATATTTATTTATAATTTGATGTAATACATACAAGGACTTTTTACTCTCAAGTAGCTTATATATATTGACCGTTCAAGCTGTTAATGCTACTAAAGTTTTGGAGAATAATTTTCTAACTCCAATAATTTGAGCCCAACAAATTTGAAATTGAAATCCATGATTTTCTTGACTAAATTTCTGCATGTAAAAATGTTGATTATTGAGGTAATTATGAGAATAAAAAAAAAGATCGATAACTAACCTATATATTAATGTCAACTACATAGAGACAAGATTAAGAGAGCAAAAAGAACATTTGTCTTATAACAGGATTATGAAAAGATAGATAGTCTAAAACTCAATTATTGATCTGAGCTTAGCCATATTCCCATATGCTTTTTATTTTTTATTTTTATTTTTTTTAGCACGCTTATATTAATTCAAGGACATAGAGTCCATCAAAACATATGGGGAAATCTCATAAGGAGCCTATATGTGTTTGTTTAGCTTAACTACGTTGACCATAAAATGCAAAGGAGAGGTTGCATGCTTGCATCCACTAGAGACAATGATACTTGTGAGAGTCGAGTCAAATTCGAGTTAAGCCTTTAAAGTTATTTGATTTTAAAAAATTAAACTCAACTTCTAATGGTTGAATTAAAAAAAAAACCCTAGCCTCCTCTCTCTCTTCTCCTCTCCTAAACTCTAGCCTTCATTGTTAATTTTGAAGGGGTTTTCATTGGATTTCACTGGTAAAAAGCCCCAATCTTTATTTCTTTTAAGCTTTTTGTTTCTTAGGTTATAATAATGTCTCCCTTGAAAAAAATGGTTTATCTCCTTCAAAAGACAAGATTTTTTTCGATATCCTTTGAAAGAAAAGGTTTTTCGGACTCCTTTAAAAGACAAAGTTTTATTTGTGTTTAATTTGGTCTCTAGTTTTGCGGAGCTACGATTGATTGTGGCTCAGATTTGGGTTACGAAATCAGCACAAGAATTTTCTTTCTCACAAAATTACAAAGCGACGACAAATCCACTCAAAAAGTTGTATGAGACAACGAATCGAGAATGTGCTGAATTGTTATATTTATGTATTTGGATTCTTATCCCTTCCCCGAGAGCTATGATCCAAAATAAATTCCGTATTTTATAAGTTTTTGTTAAAATTAGTACCTATAAACATTGTGTAAGTTTAATTCTATTACTTGAAAGTGCAATTTTTACATTAAGCCAAGATATGACTGAAATTAATGTTAACAGCCTTTCAAGTCTAGCTAAATCCTAAAATCTTACTCTATTCAATAAAATCTCAAGTCAAAGTTTGCACAGTCAAATTCACCATTCATTATATGAGTACCAGTTATGAATACTTTTTCGTCTAAAATGGTCATGTTGTCCTAATGTCTCATTGCTAAGTATATAGCATACTCGTATTTTACATATATACCCTCCAAATTCCTCCGCTAATCACCTACATAAAGTATGTGATGTGGAAATTGCTCGTAAATCATTTATAACTTGAACAATATAACCACCTCTTCCGGACATTCTAAAATAGTGAATGCGGTTATTAATTTTGGGCAATGCAACTCCTAGTATCTCATGTCGTATTCCAAAATTGAATTTCTATTTCCTATTGCTATAAATGTTGGTATAATAACCACCTTGAAACATCATAATTAAGCGAAAAACCATTATTAACTGTTTAAATGAAGGGAATACAGAGTTGAAAGCATCAACACATAAGTCCAGATAAACTAATACTTCCTCCGTTTCTTTTTAGTTGACACGTATTTTAGTCACGTTTGTCAATGCACAAATTCAACCATTCATATTTTTAATTACCGATAAGCAAAAAGTATGAAAAGTTGATATTTTGAAAATATATATCGTGACGAATCTAACAAGATCCCACATGATTATAATTTTCAGTATGTATAAAGCACAAAATACAATCAAAGGAGAGAGTGTGAATAGTGCTAAAGTCAAAACTTGTCAATTAAAAAAAACGGAGGTAGTATAAAAGTAAAATTAAAATTTCCAAGAGTTAAGCAAGATTACACAACTACTTCAGAAATCAGCAGCTGACAATGCTGATCCTGGACGCCCCCCCTCCCAAACCAAAATTATTTTTGGTACTCTGCATCATGTATGGGAACCCCTGGTTGGTCGGCAAACATGATTACGCTTACGAGCATGATCTACACTGTGATGTTGCGTTCGACAAGCATGGCCATACCAGCAGTCTTGCCTGCTTGATGCCTCTGGCGGTAGAAGCTATAAAATAAACAAGGAAAGCAAACAATAATGAATGACAAGATTTGAAGGAGAAACATGCAAGTGCAGAAAGAATGAGAACAGGCACCCATGGCAAATCCAAAACATGGCAGAATATTCGGGAATCAGCTCATGTCTCATGAGTGGCAATTACTATAAAATTTACATTAACAGTTCCTCAACCTATCTCAAAATAATTTACAGATAATTATGACTTTTGAAATCAAAATTTGTCAATTATAACTAGTATTGAAATTTCAAGTTATATCAGTAATAAAAAGCTATACCAAAAATTTAAACATCAATTATAGAACAGGCATTTTAGATTTTTAACATAGCTACAACCTACAAATAAGCAAGTAGAGTTGATCGAGGTCAAATAAAGCTTGGCCAATTCCCGTTTATTGAGTAAATAAACAAGCTTAAACTTAGCAAATGAGCAAAACTTGGACAACTTCATGTTCAACTTATTAATGTTTGCGAATTCTGAGTAAATATTACAGAGCACAATTTGTGATATAATCGAGGCCTTTAGAGTGAGCTGAACAATCTAAGTAAGCATACTCATTTTGGGACCAGTCACTACAAACAAGACATGAAAGCCTTTTGCTTTAACTTGCACAATCAGGCGGTTATACCAGGACGGTAAATCAAGCAGATAATTAGCAAACATGTATAAGAGCCTACAATTACAAAACATTGGCAGCCTTTAGAGCTAAAAGTCTGTTTACTAGCAAACAAGAATAATGAAAGAATGGCAGAAGTGCTTACATGGATAGGCAATGAAATCCGGAACCAGTAAAGAAGAAATGAAACCAGTGTGTTGTAACAATCACTGCACAAAATTGGGCCAAGAAATGGCAAAGAATTTTAGGAAAACAACTATGAAATGCTAAGTGTAGAATTATGGATTGTGTCAAGTCAACCTGAGTTCTCCGAGTCAAACAGCACATGATATAACATTATAACCCTTATTATAAGAAAACATCAAAGCAACTTACCTGCAGACATGAGTGCCAGCAGTTATCATCTCAGGATGCTTCAAATGCAATCGTGAACGATCTGTGGGCCACACATAAAATTTTAAAAAAAATGCAGGTTCAGGGCTGCGTGCTCATTATGCAAATTGTTAAAAAAAGAAACTGCATGCTAAAAAAAACCAAAAACATAATCAAAGATATATGAGACTATGGGAAGCAAATTAAAGTTATTGGGATTAAGTTCCTAAACCAAACACAGAAAGTGCATGCCAAGTGACATTTGTAAGAATCATCCTTATTGCCTGTTTTTAATCACAACCATACCCATTGCATTAAAAAAAAAAAAAAAAAAAAAAAAAAGGATGATCTAGTCACTAGCTTTATTTAGAATTTAGATAAGCTCTGATATCATAACCAAGTCTAAAAGACATAATTTCAATCAGATGCACAGTAAGATTTCAATACATAGCCCAGCCTAGAGCTCAGAAAGAAATATATCAGTCATGGAGGGAAGTACGTATGTTAAAATGGTAATCATACAAACAAAAAAAATAAAAAAAATTACATTGTCACAATTGCTGATGGAGGAAGCTTGGTACTATATTGCTCTATGGTAAAAACAGGCCAAAAATTTCATTAGTACAAAGTGGTGTTATCAAGACCCTTTATAGAAGTTTGTAAAAAGAACCATAGTGTGTTAGGATGAGGGAAGTAAGGAGAGGTAGAGCAATGGAACTATTTTACTAAGATTTGGAATAGGAGAGGAAGGGAAATAATTGGAGGGTAAAAGAACCATCGTCACTTAAATGGGTGAAGTAGTTAGAGGAATAAGCTTCCAAGATTTGGAGTTTATTTTTATTGATGCAGCACCTTTATGTCTATGATGACACCTTGAAAATTGAGAAACAACAAGCCTCGAAAAGGATATTATCTAATGGGTGATAAGGAAAGTAATGTAGCTCCAACTAAGGAGAGTATTTTCAAATGGACTCCAATTATTGCTGAAACAAGCAACTCCTGAAGCAGCTTGTGGTGTAAACGACTCCTCAATCAGCCGCACTGCAAACTAAATGATGAACATAGTGATAATACAATAAATCATAAGTTCTGCAATTGGGAGTAGCCTAATAGTGTCTTCCCTGTGTTCTATACGAGAAGTTCAAACCTCCAAGTACACTATTTCTAATTTGATTGCCACAATATGGTTTTTTGATGGAAGATTGGTAGTTTCTGAACTATCATAAGAAATCCAATAACAGTTTTCTCTCCAATAAATCCATATCAATGAAAAAGGTTCATAAAAAGGAAAACTGTAAATTTGGGCCAGGAGAAACCCCAGACCCTTAGTGCCAATGATTATTTACCATGAAGATGCATCTTCTAGGTAGTGGCTGTGGACCTATGGTTCCAAAACTTATTCTTCAATTGGTATATTTGTTTCATCTTATCTTAATTTATTTCAGAAAAACTAAATTCAGAAAAAATAAGTTTTTTAGACAGTTACACACAAACAAGACAATTTCATACAAGATTAGTTCAGACAAAAATCTCAAAATTGATTCAGACAAAATATGTCCAGATAATTTCAGATAAGTTCTGATAAATTATTTTAAACAAAATAAGTTGAACCATACATTCTTAATCAGCATAATTTGGTAGAAGTCGATCACAAGTGAATTATTTCTGTAAAAGTTCTTTACATTATATTCTACTGCATGAAATAATGCTCAACACTGTGAATAGCATCCAGAAGGTAAACTCTAATATGATTTACTCGGTAGAAGATATGACATTTACATCTTAGCAGGTAGGAAAGATCACACAATGAAAGAATAGAGCATGTAAAATGAAATTCAATACATTCATGAGCTTAGAGCACCTAGAAGGTCCATTTCTGTGCTTTTTCTGAAATAAAAAAAAATAAAATAAATAACAATAAGGATTCCAGAAATTTGACAACAACCAGAACATCCTTCGAGGTTACATAACATCACCTCTTATGTATGACAAACAGTAACAAATAAAATAAAATAAAATAAAAACACAGCATTACCAATTTCTCGGTTGTCCAATTTTGTAATCCATTCAGCAATCACTTCTTGTAGTGTTGTACCCATCTGTCTAATGCACCTATTTGTGATCTACGAAATGAATCCATAAGGTAATGAACAAAAAAAAAAAAAAAAAATCAGAAGAAATTAAAAGCATCAACTTTATGCAATACACACATCTTGCTCGAATTCATTCCTTTCATGCGCTGTAGAAGGGATATTAAACACTCTGTGCTCCGAGATCTAAAAAAAAAAAAAAACAAATAGCACCAGTAGATATTATTCATTAATGAGAAGAAGCAACTACAAAAAGTCAAACGATGACCAGGAATACTCTAATAACAGGAAGAAAGTGTGATATCTGTTTACACATCATTTAGAAAAAAAAAACCCCGAGAAAGCTCCTGCACCGTAGGAATTGAGAATCGAGGAGAACAACTATATCCTATGTTACTCAGACTCAGTCTGACACAAGTGCGTGTCTAAGTGTCTAACTCGGCTATTTTGTGAAAATGTTTCCATGATTTTAGCCAAAATGAAGTGTCAAAGTGTCCCACCCATGTCGGAACGTTGAGGATCTAACACACGAACTTGAGGTGAAATCAAAAGTCCAAGTAACATCGAATGTATCCTAAGTGAAGTCTAGCAAACAAATTGAGCAGGTCCGGTGCACCTAAAACTGCGAATAGCACTTAATGATGCACCAAAAGAGAACTTAGAAAATTCAAAAGCACACATATAAGCTCAGACAGACAGCCAAAGGGAAATGGCAACCCCTACTAAACAGGATAAGGTGATTATCAATCTCCCAATTGGAAAAAAAAATTATGCACATCGAGGAAGATAGATTGATTTGCTTTCGCAAGAAATTCAACAATTTGCAGTCCCATCCTTGCCCCCAGAAATAGTGTTTTTATTAGTGCGCCCCTTTGCAGAGAAGATTTGGTAAAGGCTGCTGGTTGTTTGTAATAGAGTAACCTTAGGAGGGGCGATTTGAGAAGTCTAGTATTATTAGGTGTAATAGACTAGATAATCTAATTTGCATATTTATATAAATAAGCAGAAATTTAAGGCTGAAAGCTTGAAATTATATTAAACTTGCTAATGATTTCTTACAAAAGGTAGTAGGTTTAGCCTACAAATCTCATATTAGTAACTTTAAGTCACAACTCTCAAAAGGATTCACTCCAAAATTTTGCCTACCTTCTCCTTTCTCCCCTCTCTCTATTTATCCTAAAGCTAAAGATTATCAACCTAATGTAATAGACTAACCTTAGGAGGGGCAATTTGGAAAGTCTAGTATTATTAAGATACGTAATCAAACAAAAGACACATCAGTATGAATTAGATGATTTCAGAGCATGATACATTAAATGATTATAAATTCATCAAAAAAGAGCACAAGACACAATTGATACATGTAACCAAACGAAAGTACAAAGCCAATTTAAAAACATACAGGTCTGAAAGTTTCAAGTTGGCAGATGGGGTGATGATCTGTCCTAGTAACTCCCTGAGCGTGCCAATAAGCACCACAATATGTTCTATCGCAACCACAACCTACAAAAGATTGAGCAACTAGAAATTGGGATCATATTTTCAAAATCAAGTTGTCAGCAGACTTTACAACTACATAATACAGGAAAGAAAGATTTCAATTGGCAGAATCAAGACTTGTTCCAACAGTAGTACTAATAAACAGAACATCAAACTCATTATAGCTTTATTTTCATTTTAATGAACTGGTGTAATTACAATTCAGAAAGGCATTACTCCCTAACACTACCATCCATGGTTTGCAGCTGTTGCAGCCAAATATCTTGGTTGCAATAAGCTCCAAAGAGATAAAGGCTTTGAGGTATACAGAAATACATCCAAGAAGGGATTAGGTTACATGCTTAAGCAGAATGATAAGGTTATCGTGTATGCATCTTGACAATTGAAGCATGAGAGATCCACCCAAATCAGAACCTGGAGTTAGAGCTGCCCACAGCTACACAGAAGTATTTACCTAAAAGATAAAGCAATATTACCTCTACAGGACAACATTAAGATTAATAGACCACAACTCCACAAGAGTCTCAGATACATCCTCGCTCAAGGAACTATCTATGACACAGTAGTTGGCTTGAATTTTTTTTTTAAAAAAAAAATTTATGAAATGGAGATCCAATACCAAGAGAAAAAGCCGAAGCAATCACAGATGCATTTGAGTAAAAAGTCTAGGCATAAGTAGTGAAGAAATTTCAAGCTTGGTGGCTTAGCCTTGAAATTATAGCTTATGGTCAAGTCCAGTCTTGGTATAACTATTCACAATTATTATGACTCCATTAACATTTGTAGGGATCAAAACAAATCAACCTCAATTACTCATAATGATTGAACATATTCACCAATATAATATTTATAAAATGTTCAATGTTTCAAGGTTCTCGAGAAAGCTAATAATGATAATATTAGTGATCCATTTGGTAAGTGGTAATAAATGGTGGTTATGGGAATGAAGTGCATAAATTTGTAAGAAAAATCAATCTTCATTCTCATAACAATGCTAGTTCATCCCAAATCATCTATTTTACCTCACAAATTTTCAGTTTTTCATCGCCATCCAATATGACTTTGGGGGTGGAATTGGGTGGTAATGGACTTTTATAGAGAAAAACACAAGTTAGGGAATGAGATTGCATTATAATGGAAATTAAGATGTTGCTTTGCTTTTCAAATCATCACTTAAATTCATTTACATTACCTCTCTAAATAAGTCATAAGGCCTTTGCAGCCGTCGCTATCTACTAAATAATAAAGTAGGTCAAATAAAGTGAGAGATCTAAGAAATTACAATGTTGTGGAATGCTAATATCAGATCTTGATGGCATCATCCCACCACATGCATGGCATTGCAAATGGGCAATATTCTCAGTGCAACGGAAACCTCCAGATTGAGTTCCTGTAGTAAAACAGAAGTTGCATGCGTTAGATGAGGGGAAAATGGGGATAAAAGATTGTACTCCCTCCATCCTTTTATTAAGAGCTTATTTGGGTTTTTTCACAGGAATTAAGAAAGTTGTAGATTCCTTAAAACTAATAATTGGGATATGCATGTGGGGTTAGAGAGAGATAGAGAGAAAGAAAAAGTGGTTGGAAATTATTGATGAGAGGGAGAGAGAAAGTATTGGGAATTGATGTCAAAAGTACACAAAAGAAAAAGAAAAAGGATGACAAATCATCAAAAAGAAAATAATATTGTCAAAAAGTACAACCTTTAGATAGAAATAGGCTCTTAATATTGGTTACCCCAAAATGGAATACAGATTGTTAATAAAAAGATGGATGGAGTACAAAAGATTAATTGCCAAATGAAACCCACAATGTAAAGCATTTATTCATTCCTTAAATACATCATCATAGTGGACGAAAATTCTGATTAAATTAACTATTTTTTGTAATCCAACTAGAAATGCAGATATTACCACTACACAAGATCAAAGCCACAGCCATTTTTTACTATAAAAAAATGGAAAAACCAAATAAAAGTTGAACAAAAATCATGTGGGGGACAATTGGTGATTAGTAAATGGGTGCAAAAAAGTAATGTGGAACTGTAAAAAAAAATTATTTTCATTCAAAAAACCAATTCCCTACTTTCACATTCTCCTCAAAATTTGAACTGGAGTTCTTCTAACGATTTGTATAAGGTTTGTAACATCGAAATTGATATTGTATATAGTGCGAATCTGGGTTCTGAAGTTTCAAATACATAAAGAAGAACAGAAAGAGTCTAATTGGTCTCAAACATTATTTTCCTTTCTTCAATTCCTATCCAGACAAAAACTTGTATACATCAAACTGTATATTGTCAGCTACAACATAGAAGATTTAACAAGTCAAGTTTAGTTGACAGTAAAATTCACTTGCAAGTTAAGAAAATCTGATAATTAATCTAAAATATATTCTGAATCCCAATCATATGAATGAAGGTGTGATTTTCATTTCCAATTTGCTTCATTGGTATAAGTGATTTTTCAAAATAAAAGAATTTTTATGAAACAAGACGAGAACAAGAAAGAAAAATGCATGACCACATAAAGATGTGAAATTAGCCCATATCTTATAGCTACAAATTTGGAGCACTTTCTTAGCACTGAAAAAATAATTTATTTAAAGCACTATGAAAGGGAGTAATAATGATAACTCCCTCCGTCATTTATGGATCTTCCCATTTGCATTTCAGCGATATATAATGCACATCTTTGACCATGAAAATTTGACATTATGATAATACATATTGGTACAAACCTAAAAAGATCTGACATGATAATTTTTTTTTCTTATATCATCAAATACAGGAAAAGTTATCTTACTTTAACCTCTAGAACAGTAAGCACGAAGATCTTTAAAGAATTGATGGGAGTATACCATTTAGGCGTAAAGTTATATTAACAATCAATTAAAAAATTTAGGAGCATAAAATAAAAGTTACGAGATGCATGGTCAATTAAAAATATGTATTAACTGCTTAAACAAGAGTACAATACCACATTGAGGACATGGTAATTCCATTTCTACACGCTCTTCATGAATTAGTGAACGCGCCCTCTTTTGACGATTTCCTTTTCCGTTTGTAATGACCTAAAAAGCAAAAGCAATCTAATTGGTCTAAATAAAGTAAATGACGAGACTCTTTACCACCTTCCTTAACCCCAAACCCTCAAATTTTCATGAATTTCATGAAATTCATAAACAAGTAATTTTGGGGGCCAAATAATCTGGAAACAGGGGGAGAAAATTATGAAGAAGCATAAATATATGCAGAAAACAATTGACACCATTTAAGCAAGCTTATACAGAAACAAATCATTTAAATTTTTTGAATTCAATCATCAATTATAAATTGATAACAGGACCGTGATGAAAAGGAAGAAGGCTGTCGGGGAGAGGGATACTGGCAATATAGAGAACGGGAAATGGAAGGGAAAGCGTCATTATCATTTTCTGCTTAGGAGTTAATGAAATGAGCATGTAGCATAATATCAATGTAAAAAAAGAACAGGAGACGAAAGTTTCTTACAGCAATCATGTTATTGCATCTCAAAGTTTACTCTGATTTTCTTTGAAATTTCCCTTTTTAAAAATGATATAGCACCAAGAAATTAAAGAGATCAGGTTAACCTATGACATCATGCAACTCTAAAAATATTCACAAATAAACAACAACAAAACCAATTTTCAATGAGCGATAAAAAACTCTAGAGCACCATGATTATGGTCCTTATTAATATCTTAATCATAGATGCTGAAGTAACCACTCACAAGGTTGGATTTGATGGTTGCATAAGAATCTAATATAGCAAGTTCTTCCGCAGAGCGCCGTAATGAAGCATCTGCCTGCAAAATGTCCTACAGAAAAAAGAAGCACATCACTGAAGCTCACTCCAAAAGCTGCAAGCATTCTGATTTCAAAATCATGTAAAATGATTGCATTCTTCAATAATACTTCCTGAGATAGGCAATGTTAGGTCCAAATACTGGCAAAGTATTCTATATGACAGATGGACAGCTATCATTATCTTCTGTGGTTATTACCAAAAAAAAGGCTTTCAATACCACTAAAAATCAGATCAGAGATTAGTATTGTCAGCTTGTAGACTATTGTTTGCAAACAAATTAGGGCCCTGTCCTATTCACCTTATTTTCACTTATTTCCAGAAAAAACAAATTCAAATAAGTCCAGGCAAGATAAGCTCGGGGAAAATAAGTTCTAATAAGGGTTATTAAGGGCAACCCAAGTTCAAATCTCAACTAAAAGAAGCTTTAATAAGTCCAGATAAGATAAGTTCAAATCATTCCAGATAAGATAAGAAAAAATCAGGTGAATAGAGCGCACCCTAAGAGAGTTTCAGTTAGAGATCAATAAACAAACATGCTAACATGTAAGCTTAGACAAAGAACAATTGTCTTATACATTGACAACAGTGATGACAAGGCAGAGGTGGATTATATGAGAGTTAATATATCCAGTGATTAAAATTGCAAGATGGTATTAACAGAAAAGCACAACCAGTCTAACTTTACATCTAAACAATAACTCTACAATTTTGAACCGATACGTTCATCATATTAATTATGGCATACATGAATAAGATGGGTGAGAAGAAAACAAGTTGATAACTTTACGCTATTTTACATCACTCAACCGGCAATGCATATTAATCATATTCATTCCAAAAAATGGACATTTAGACAAAGGAGGAAGAATGTTGTAGCACCTCCTCAATACCATGAAGAAAATGGTTTCTTCCAACAAATTGCACAACTGCTCTACACTGGGGGCATAAGACACTAGAATGTTTCTTCTGACACCTCTTTAACCACTCTGAGAAGCACCCGTTGCTGATAACATCAAGAACATATGCAGCAGAAGCTGATTAGTCCAAGCAAATAATCCATTCCTTTTTAGCTTAAACCACTTAGGCTAGCCAATATAATTGTCAATGAAACTAAAATTGACAAACCAGAAATTATGAAGGCAAGGAGCTACTGTCACAACATCATGCCAAACATTCAAGCAAATGCAGCATTTTGTGTGCTCTGAATCTAGAAAAATCTGAAGAAAAAAACCACATTTGCAACCATAGTAAGAAGAAAAAAAATATATTTCAACCTCTTACTATTCAAAGTAGAACAGTTCTCAAACTATTAGCATAAACCAACCTTCAACTTATTCTCAAAGCGGTGTTCTTGGACAGGCATCACCTCAAATTTAAAGCTTAGATGCTCTGTGTACCAAAAAAGTTAAATTAATTGAGACCGTAAAACTCAGAATGTTACCAAGTGCTAGTGTTTCATATAATGATAGTATATCTCTGAAAATTACATATAGCCATATTGGAGACCTTGACACAGTAATGCAGTATAAGGAAAAAAATAACATAAAAAATAGGGTTTCGCGGGTGGGGGCGGTCGACGGTTTTGCGGTTAGGGAGGGGGAGGGGTTTCGTGGGAGGAGAGAGCTTTTAAGGTGGTTTGGGCCTTTAGGGGGAAGGGGAGGGGCGGCAGGGGTGGCTGGGTGGTGGGGGTCTTCTTGTTGGCCGAAGAAAAAAGGAAATAGAAGGAAAGAGGTGGTTGTGTGGTGGTGGTATGGTGGCTTTTACTCCCTTTCTTATTTATAACAAACAACTTAGTAAATGTATGAGTTTTTGTTTCCATTCACCCTGCTTACCTTTCTTAAGCTCATTCCCTTACTCTTTGATGAACCAAACGGCCCCTAATTATAAAGCTTTGAATTTCATAAAACAAAATTCTAAAATACTTTGGGTTAATAAGTGAGAATTCCAAAATTTAGAGGATAAAGTACTCCCTCTATCCACAAATAAAAGTCTCATTTCTCCCAAAAAAAAAAAAAAAAAAAAAAAAAGCCTTGTCTGTTGTCTCTAAAAACAGAATCTCGTTTCACTTTTAACTATTATGTATTCAGCTTTAATCAGCAAAACTCTACGATCTTTTTTATTTTTAATTATTCACTTTTAATCAACCAAGCCCCACTATCTTGTTTTTATATTCACCTATAATTAACCAAACTCCACTCCCTTATTTTTTTTATCCACCATCCTAAAATCATGTGATCAATGCAAATGGGACTTTGTCAAGGGACGAACTGACGAAGAGAATAACATTTGAACGAAAGCAATATGCTATAAACCAATGTTGCCTGATAACCTAATCCTCACGTATAGCACATTGAAAAAGGTGAATTATACTACACATAAAGTGGTAATTTTAGGCCCAGTTTAACAAATTGCGTAGTGCATCACATATCATACTAACTCTAATACTCGCATATTAGGCAACTTAGAGTTAAAACCAACCTGTGGTAAATAATATTTTAAATTGCATAATCATGAATAAGGTGCTTGCTTTAGCTGATAAAATTAGATTCACGTGATCCAAATATATTCATTGCTCATTATATTAATAGAAAGTCATTGGTTGCCTCATGAAATTTGTTTGTCTAGCTTTCTCATATTTCCTTTTGTTTTTAGTCATTGGTTGCCTCATGAAATTTGTTTGTCTAGCTTTCTCATATTTCCTTTTGTTTTTAGTCATTGGTTGCCTCATGAAATTTGTCTCTCTAAGAATTATCGAGTTTAGGCTCAATAAAATCTGGATTTGCAGAACAAAGCTAGGAGTTAATGAGTTATGCCCTCATAAAATTAGGGGTGGCAATTTGAGTCAACGGATCAAGTTCGGGTCGATTTCGGGTTGTGCTTAAAAACTACTTCCTCACTTTTTAATACTTGCAACACTTCTCTAAAATCGAAATGTTATAATACTTACAACACACTGTAATTGAAATTTTTTTTTGGTAAAAGCTATACTATTACCCTTATTTAAAGCTCATGACCCACATAATTATACTCCTAACAATCTCTAAACCCCATTTGATGTGTATTAAAAACATGTGGACCCACTTTTCTTGAATAACGTGAAAAAGTATGTGTTGCAAGTATTAAAAAACGGAGGAATTATTAAAAATAGTGTAAAACTTAATATTATTACAAAATATGATAATTAGGTCAAATTAGGATGAATTCGGGTTGTTCGGGTTCGATTCGGTTCGGATTCAGGTTTCTCTCAGTAACTTTGTGTTGTGATCAGGTCGGGTTATTGGGCTCGCATCAGGGATTGCGAGCACTACATTAAACTATGATGTTCTACTGCTTACAATCCATAACTGCCTACAATCCGAAGTTGTGGTTCAGTTACGTTTATGATTTCATCGCTTTATTTATCTTCTTCAGATTTAATGGCATATATGGTAGACAAGTTGATGGTGGTTAATGATGGTCAAGCTAATGGAGGTCTTCAATTCTTTGTCAGAGGTTATATGCTAGAGTTCAAGATACTAAACTAGTTTCACCCTTATTAAATTGAGCTTGCTTTTATTTATGTCTTTTTGAGTTTTATGAGCAAAATATGATATTAATTCATCATGAAAATGATTTGGTATACAACTTTAGTCTGGTTCTATGATTTGACCTATATTATTGTTTATATAAGTTCTAAGACACCAAAACAGCCTAACAAGTATTAAGTAATGCCCTTTCAAACAAAAGTTAAGTCCACTTCCTTCGCCGATAATCTTAAACAAACATGACAAAGTGACAAATATTGAGGATTAGCCTACAATTTGCAATTTGATATGTAGAGCAGAACATTCATTTTCACCACAAAGATAAAGTGAGGCCTTGGTTACATGATAATCATGTCCTAATATTGCAAACCTTCTAAAAATGAATAACTGACCTTTTTTAGTGGAAGCTGGCACTATTTCACAGCCACACTTAATACCAACTACATCTTCACTCTCCAATACAGCCCCATCAATGAGTATAAAATTTGACCTGCATTTATTATAAGATCACCAGAAAAAAGTAAGAGATCAAGGATAAATCTGGAATGCTAAAGGATACCTACATTTCAAAACAAGAAAGAGCAACAACTATATGAAAAAGATAGACCCTGCCCCTACATTAAATATATGGTTATCTGAAAAGGTAAAGGAACAACCTGGAAAGTAAATGGTACCTACACTTCAAAACAAGAATGAGCAAGATATATTTACTCATGGTTGGCACTGAGCCATGGTGAGCTGGCACACACCCCATGCCATGGTATGAAGACTATGAATAGGCAGCAGGCCAATGACATTCAATATCCTGAGTTACGACATTATACATAAGGGTCATGCCAAGCCAAGTCATGCCTCTCCACCAAGAATGCAGCCCAAACATGGCACAATAGGTAGCCAAGGCCAATGATTGCCATGAAGACTTTCTTAAAGGCACATTCAATACATCAAATGATGAATTGATACTCACTCCATATCACAATTACTTCATGTTTGAAATTGACACAGAGATTAAAAACAGCTGCTAAATATAAAATTAAAAAGGGAAAAACTGAAAGTCTATAACGAGGTCAAAACAAGTGAAGAGATTGGGAAAAGGAAAAAAAAAAGAGAGAGAGAGAGATAAGGAATAAAAGTAAGTGTTAGAGGAAGAACTTAGATTGTGAGAGAGGAATGCTTTTTAATATTATGTTTCTGGGGAAGCCCATCACGTTGACTCACTGTACCAGGAAGAGCCAGCCTCATGCCACCTAAAAAAGACAGCCTCGGCATAGCTGGCCACCTCAAGGAGCCTCATGCCGGCATGGTCGGGTGGAAGCCTCATAGATATATGTATAAAACAGATAATTAAATATAAGCTCATATACATACTCTTCTCAAAAGACAACTAAGGAACTCATCTGGAACGTCCAAACTACCATATCCGATGGTTATATTTTGCAATGTACAAACGGACATTGTCCCAGCATTTGAGGGGAGACTCTTCCAATCCAAATCTGCCAAACTGTCCACATATGGCCTTAACTCAAGCTTGCATCTCTTTTATACCTCCTCTTACTTCCTCCATTTCCAATGAGAGGGAAATAGCAAATTAAAATCCAACCCCCACCCCAACCAAACTGTTCCCAAAATGGCTTCGAGCCTGCATCTCCTTTTTCCCTCCTCTCACTGCCTCTTCTTCTGCTCTAGTGATGGGGAAATAGCTAAAAAATGAAACCCCCTCTCTCTCTCTCTCTCGTTCAGTTCACTTTGCAAAAGTGTAAATTGGCTCAACATAGAAGATAGAATCAAATGGCAAAAGGTATGATCAATCTTTATATTGCCAAACTTGGGTACATGTTTATATACCAGACTTTCCATGATCCAATTTACAATTTTACAACACTCGTGATACTCGGACTCTTTATTTCACCCCTCTCTCTCTCTCGTTCAGTTCACCCCTCCTTTTCCCCCTCTCTCTCTCTCTCGTTCAGTTCACTTTGCACAAGTGTAAACTGGCTCAACATAGAAGATAGAATCAAATGGCAAAAGGTATGATCAATCTCTATATTGCCAAACTTGGGTACATGTTTATATACCAGACTTTCCATGATCCAATTTACAATTTTACAACACTCGTGATACTCGGACTTTTTATTTCACCACAAGTATGCGACAATCAGACATGGAAGGACACTTTGACATTTACAACGCTATAGTGTTTAAGTAGTATATTTACTCCATATAAGTAAATTACACACCCCAAAGTCTCTTTTCTTCCCTTTGACCTTCAGTAGTCATGTCCAAGAGTTGAAAAGCAGTATCCTATGAATGAAAACCCTAAATATGAGGTGTCAAGAAGACAGGGGAAGTATATCATCACTATTGCTTTTATAGTATATAAAATCTATATAAGTAAATTGCACACCCCAAATTTTCTTTTCTTCCCTTTGAACTTCAGGCCCTCTCTCCATTTTCATTAGTTGTTAATAATGGAGTGATGGATCCAAATACCAAGTTAGGCATAAATTCCATAATATATCCCTACCGTGTCGTGTCAAAACAGTAACAACAAAAATGTCATCTACGATTAAAGTCAATGCCTCTTTTTCAATAGGTTATCTTCCACCTTTCGACATCTCCAAAACTCATACACCTCATTTTCAGCTCACCTCTATAGTATCTAGCAACCAACTTACCAACTTCATGCTCTGGACCCTAACCCACATTACACTATTCTGACCTTATCTCCCCAAAACTATGTTCCTCTCCCTAATCCTCTTCTTCCCTCTTCTGTCTAACTTTCATTTACTCTTGCAAACACATCTATCCAACAACTACCACTGATTCTCTTTTTGAGGAATGAACATCTATCACAGCCAATATATACATTTAACCATGTGACTCATGGTTCCCCTGCGAATCAAGATGATAACCTCAATGTGCCAAAGCTTTGACAAGCCACAAATTACACCATGATCAAGAGCAGCTACAGCGAACATTCACGTTCACATGCCTTGCCCAGCCATGATCAACGAGTTTCAGGCTAACTTACTCTTATGATCCCTTACTGCCTTCCTGGACATGATCATGGGTTCTTTGGAGATTTATATTCTTCAACTATTTGAACCTATCACATCATGGTTCTTTTAGAACGCAAGGGCATACACTTTTGAACCTATCTAATAAAAAGTGTATTCACGGTCAAAACTCAATGAAAGTACAACTATGATCTAAAACCTTAAGGCATAATGCATGTAATTGCTTAATTAAAAAATCAGTCATTCATGTAAATAATATTCTATACATGGTCCAATATTATTAAAAACTATAAGTTCATTAAAAAGTTTTTATACATCAAAAATCATATCAAGTGATGTTAAGAAAACTTGATTTTTTCTTTTTAAAAAAAAAATAAAATAAACCTACCCCTCCCCTCCCCTTCCCCCTCAAATATTTTGTATAACTCAAAATTCTACCCAATTTATTCTGTTTTGATAAAGCCCCTCATCAAAATCTATTAGCTCGAAAGGAAGCACGACAAGATGTGTACCTTTTGTTTCTGATAGTGGCTGAACATCGATCAGAGTTCCTTATTATCTGGCACCATTCAAGCTTATCAGAAGTAGACGAGATCTGTGAACATACAATTGTATTATCTGAGCTAATCTCAATGCTTGCATAGCTTGAATCAGATGGCACTACAAAGATGTAAAAGAAACTAAAGGTTATTTGAACTCGTATGTTAAGAAAATGAAACCAACAATAATTTCTTTTCAAAACATAAAAAATCATATTCGCTGGTTCTAAACAAAGGTCCATTCAGTGAAAAACACATGATCAGAAATGGCATCAAAAGAAAGTGTATTTGAAATGAAAACAAGATGATGCCTCACTGGAAAAATCTTCCCAACTCGCCATTAAATATTATGTCATACTCATCTAGCATCAAATTTCCTAAATTAATATCCTGCTACAATATACTTTAATCTGGTGTTTGACGGAAAGCATCTCGAGAAACTTTTGGTTTAAAACCAATTACAATATAATAATAAATAAAAATGAAGAAGATAAGAAAAGAAAAAACAGAAGGAACCCCCTAAAACTGAACCTTTGCTATTGGATTGAGGCAGTATATCCCATTACTTGTCTGTCCTCTCTACAATTATAAATTTCCTAATTCCTAAAGTCCTAGTAAAACTGTTCAATACAAGCATGCAATTTGGTCTGTTTTGGCATGATTTACAAAAGGAACTAAGCTTAGCAAAAAGTCAATGTCTCAAGGTAGCAAGGTACTACTCGAGCAGGAATAAGCGATAGCCACAGCGATTTCGGGATTAGCAAAGTTATTCCATGTACAATGACTCTAAAGTTGAACTTCCATATAGTTACAGCTAAAAGACGGAAACTTTTGGATGGGATGAACAATGAAATACTTGTTTTTTTTTTTTAATTTAAAGAGTGAACATGAAATACATCCAACAAAGGTATTGACGATTTGGCATTTAGCAAAAATACATTGTAATTACCAATAAAAATGTTATTTCATAACACTAAATTTAGACATTCTAACACTTGGAGACATAAATTGGCACAATTGCGAAAATTAGAACCTTGGAAAAATCTTTAATTCTTGCTAATATCAGTAATCTACTTCCAAAAGAAAAATGCAGTCTTGTAAACAAAGAAAAGCATCCCACCATAATCAAACACCAAAAAAATGTATGATTATATCTAATAATTTACAAAATGCATGATAACAGAAACTAAGAAAAACCCAGTTCATAATTCCATAAAATTCACAAATTCCAACATATAATAGCATTAAAGGTCAATTGAATTAGGAGGGTTTTCTTCCAAAAAAAATATTGCCTAGAAAAATTCCAGAGAATAATGGTATAACTATATGATAGACAGAAATTTAAATATGGAAATTAATGTACCAAGTTTGGCCCAAACTTCATCAGTGGAATTTGAACCAGATGATTGCCCAACGTCCATTGAATTTTTTTTCTGGGTTTGATTTTTTTTTTTTTTTTTTTTTTAGATTAATTTTTCTTAAATTTTGCAGAAAAAAAAAAAGAATTGGATTTTTAAAATGGTGATGAAAGTGGGTTGCCACTATAGAGAAGCTTGTGAAGGAAGATGGAGACTAAAAGAAACCAATTTGCTACCTCCTTGGAGTAATTCGTACGAAGTACTACTACGTAGTATTTACTTTGGTTTTTTATTTGTTTTATTTAAAGTAAAGAAAAAAAAAATAAAGACATTAATAAACAAGGCCGCCCCAATTACTCAAAATGAGAAACAAAATTACACATAAAATTGATTTTTTAAGAAGTTAAATTTGTAAAATCAAAGGTAAAACCACTACTTTAAGTAGCGGTTTATGGGCAAAATCGCTACTTGGTTTATGGAAAAATCGCTACTTTAAAACACAGTAAAAAAAAAAGTGCTCTTATTTACGTATTTGCCATTTGAGAAACATAGTTTGTTTCTCATGTTGAGAAAGTTGGAATTTCTCTTAGTAAACATGTTCACGAAATTGTTTGTTCAAAAAAAAAAAAAAAAATAAATAAATAAATAAAAATAAAAAATAAAAAATCTTCACGAAGTTGTAGGTTGATTTTGAGCACGAACAATGGCTAGCTACAATATGCATCTTTGTTTCCTATGTCATAATTAAGTTATAAGCTTTTGAAACTATGGCGGGAGATCAAATAGGAGACCCACACCTAGGGCGAGGATGGTCTCGGCTTCACGAGTCGTGGAGCGAGGATAGGTATAAAAATTATATCCGCCATGATTGATGGGGCGGTGGAGGATAATTTTATATTGTATCTACCCCATATATGCCTTGCCCTGCCTTATTCGCCCGTCCCATTTCGTACTAGCCTCATAACAGCACACATATATTAAAAAAATTCTTTTATATCGTTTTATAACAATCTATATCTAGTCTATAATAAACCAATAATGTCACGTATCATACTTGCCTTTAATTTTTTTTTTCTATTTATTAAAACATCTATAAAAATTATTAATTTTGGTAATTCATCCCATGTAATCAATGTTATCTCTTTATGTTCCCACCTTTTCATTTTTGGCATTATGAATGCCACGAAGTATAACGTTAAAATCATTATGTATTCCATAACATGCAAAATTCAATTAATTAATTAAGGAAAAATTGTCTAAAGCAATTCAACTTTTTGTTGGTTGTTAGGGAATTATCCAACCTTTCTATTATTTCAGATTTCAAAATAATCCAACCTTTTATACCCATTTTCTCGTAGCAATTCCAGTAGGTAACCAACCCGCTGCAGCCGATTGCCAATCCATGTTTCACTTCCTTATTGGATTAAATTTTTTTATTTAAAATTTTAAAAGTAATTTTATTTTTATTCTTGTAAATTGAAAACTCGTCTCTCCTCCATGATCCACCTAAAAGCCCATCTCTCCTCCACCTGAAACCCATTTCTCTCCTCCTCCCATCACTAAAACCTCATTTTTTTGCCACCTCAACACCCACCACCAAATCAAAAACCCATATTTTGCAAAGTGTAAGAAATGAACTTTGACTTGAGTTCTTCTTTTTTATCTTCTGAATTTCTGATTGCATTTTCCTTTCATCTTTGTCACCTTTGACAGCATCGTTTTCTTACTAGGTGGTTGAGTATCGTTGCCATCTAACAAGAGGAGGTCTTGTTAGTTTGAGCACCAAGAGGAGAGAGAGATTGGTATTGAATTGGTCCTGTTAACCCGAAAATTCAATTTCCTTTGGTTGATACTATCGTTAGTGTAACACCCTAAAATTCCTTCCTTTTAACATACCTATTTTGCCCTTTTAAAAATACGAAATAGGAAATGCTAAGACATTAATGTAACACCCTAGAAATTTCTTTCCTTTAAAATACCCATTTTGCCCTTTTTAAAATACAAAAAAGGAAAATCTAAGACATTACCGCCACCGTGAAAACGGCTAAGGCAAATATCAAAGACTCACACACAGCGGAAGACTACTTTTAAAACCATTTAAACACAAGTCAACTTAAAAAAATCAAACCAAACGAAACTTAAAGTCAAACAAAGTCAACCTACAACTTGGAACCATTGTAGGCCCTTAAAACCCAATCAATATTTACAACTTTTGCGTTAGTCTCATGATTATAGTAAAATAAATAATATTCAAGCAAATAAAACATATCATATTCCTATGAGAACTAAGCATGATTCGCTCATCACTCATGCCCTTCATGAATATGCTTCATCACTTGAAAAGCTTCTCTCTACTTGTCCCCACTACTCGCCATTAGAAATGGGTCATCGTAAGGCCAAGGTAAAGACAAGGCCATACAAACACACAATCACCAAAACTGAGTACATAAGCGTAATAAAACACACTAACATGCTTTTATCCTAACATCACACAACTTACCGTGTAGCACCTGTTTACAAGCATACAAAACATTCAACACCTAACTAGACCAATACCAATGTTCATTTAATTTTGATTACACACCAAACGGGTTTCTAACCAAATCCCTGCCTCAAATAAATTGAGGTAAACTACACCGGGAGCTAACCGGGTCGGCAAATGTCACATGAAGTGACTGGACGTCCTGCGCATAATAATAATAATAATAATAATAATAATAATAATAATAATAATAATAATAATAATAATAATAATAATAATAATAATAATAATAATAATAATAATAATAATAATAATAATAATAATAATAATAATAATAATAATAATAATAATAATAATAATAATAATAATAAGGAAAATACAGTGTCTTGTACTCCCATTAGAAGTTATGGTCAAATAAAAAGTCACATAACTCCCCCCATATGTTCATACTCAAGGTATATACGTTCCAAGAGTTTTGGTGTGTAATCTCTTTTACTTTACGTTATTTACATATTATTAGACTCGGGGATGACTCTCAAACCATAACACAATCAAACATTATCATTCATTCAAGCAATCAAACATACCAATTTAAGTCTTGAATAATTAGTGACCACATAAATTTAATAGTTGAACCCTCTTTAATCTACCTCAGTGTCAAAGACACCTTAAACGCACAATGCGCCGCAAATCCTATCCATCGTTGTTAGAAACACCTTAAGTGCATAATAAGCACCGCAATAAAATTTATTCCTATGTACTAAGACACTTAAATAGCTTCTTCCTCATGCTTATAACACCAATAAAAATTATATGAACCATAATAAAATTCCTTTTTCATATTCCAACCAAATTAAACATTTAGTTTAATCAAACATGCTCTCTAACATGCCAATAATAAAAGTGTGGTTCATAACCAACATGCCAACATAATTAATTCCAATCACCAATTCACCATAAATAATTCATACATTACAAATCATCCACCAACATCAATCCAATCACAAATTCCAATCAACACCTATCATGATACTACTTGGAATTAATTCATCAAAGCCTAGCATGCTTCTACATATTCAAATAAATACCAAGTACGCGAACGTACCTTGAATATGATCTCAAAATCGCCACGACTAAATAAAATCACTAACTTGAAAGTCTCCTACAAACCAAAATTATAAAGAAGTATTAATACCTCTTTCACACAAATTTCCAGCAATATATACTCTCTTTAAATCACTCATAAACCCTCTAAAATAAATCTGAAATTTAATTTGAAACCCTTACATTTATTCCCAATTAATGGGTAATTAAAAATCCTATCAAGAAATTTAATTATAGCTTATATATAAAAATTCCAACATTATTAAAACTTATAAAATTTCTGTAATTTAGTTTAAAAATATTAATTTCAATAGTTTTAATCAATCACAGTCAAATTCCATCAATAGATATTAATTTCGAAACCTAGGGTTTTCAATTTGGGGCTTTTTAATTTAAAATTAAATCTGAAAATTAATATACAAAATACTTATTATTAAACATTCTAAAATCATCACAAAACCCAAAAACAATAATTAGATTAAGGTAGATTTAATTAAAATTTAAAAGAAAGTTTTTTTTTGTAAACCACTGGCGCACAACCACCAAGGCTGGCTGTCGCCGCCTGGTGGTTGCTGCTTCCGACGAGCACTGCTGGTGGTGGCCACCGGCCAGTGGTGGTGTGTGGTGGCCGACCAGCGTGTGTGGTGGTGTGTGTGGGTGGTGATTAAATAAATAAATTAAAGGGGAAGGGGAAAAATTAAGGGGAAAAAGAAAATAAGAGGAGAGAGAGAATTTACCTTTGGGTGCACTCCATCTTAGACATATGATGGTATTTATACCCTCTCTCATAACCTCCTACTTACTACCCTTAATAATCTCTTTCCTACTCAAACTAGGATTTTGACTTTCTTTAAAACTTTGACTTTTAAAAATTATCTTTTATAAAATAATATGCCCCAATATTTCCAAATCATAAATTAAAATATTTTCAAGATTATTAAATAATTAAAAATACACTTTTAATAAAAATCATTCTTTTTAAATTAATGAAAAACCCTAAATAATTCATTCTGAATTATTTAAATACTTTTAAGAAAATACTTATTTAAATTAAAATACGTATAAAAATACGGGGTATTACAATTAACGCCACCGTGATAACGGCAAAGGGAATTATCAAAGACACACAGCGGAAGACTCGTTTCAAAAATCCTTTTTAAAACATAAAATCTGACTCAAGTCAAACCGGCGACGAAAGTAAATTCAAACCCAAGTCAAATAAAAGTCAAACAAAGACAATCTACAATTTGGAACCATTGTAGGCCCTTTTCAAACCCAAACCAAATAATTAAAATCATTTGTGTTAGTCTCACAAGCAATAATTAATAATTAAAGCAAATAAACACATCATATCCTCATGGAAACTAGACAAGATCTTCACTCATGCCCCCAACATGAATATGCCGCCTGAAAATCTTCTCTTTACTTTGTCCCCACTACTCGCCATTAGAAATGGGTCGTCGTTTGGCTAAGATAAAGACAAGGCCAACAAACACACGAACACACAATCAGCAATGCTGAGTACATAAGTGTAAACGAAACACACTAACATGCTTACAACCTAGCAACACAACCTACCTTTAAGCACCTGTTTACAAGCATACAACAACAATTCCTTAAACTAGACAATTCAATTGCTTAATTATTTGATTACGCATCGAGCGGGTTTCCCCCCTAACCTGCCCCTAACAAATGCGTACTAACACGGGAGCGAACCGTGCCAGCATAAAAGAATCACTCATAAGTGGTGGAATTCCTACTTAAAGGACCTCGGTTAAAC